AAGGAGTTGTCATCTCTTCCGCGGCGGAAGGCGACGGACGGGCGGCGGAAGGTCGGCGGAAGTAAAGCGAGGCCGCCTCCGCGGGCGGAAGCCAGCGGAAGGGCGGCGGAAGTAAAAGATGCGCCCCCAGGAGATGACATCGTTTTTTCTGTGTTCAGGGTTTTCGAAGTCCGCCATGTATATTTCTTCTTCGTCCTCTGGGTCCGGGCGGGCAGGGCGCGGGTCCGATCGCCTCTGGGGGGGGGGGTCGGCGCGGCTCGATGATCTTTAGGACGTGTGTTAGCCGAGTGTGTGTTCACCCCGATCGGCTCCGCCCCTAACTCGCGGCCTGCGTCGCCTGTCACTGCGCCGCCTGCGTCGTATTGAACGGCTTCGGTGGACGAGCGCACGTTGGCGCTACGCAGCACCTCTTTGTCAGCAGCGAGGGCCGCTCGCGCATCGCGTCCGGATAGCCAGTGGGCCGCGCCGGAACGATGGGCACAAAAAATGCACCCAGGGAAAGAGGAGGGCGGCCGCGGAGGCGGAACGCGGGAGGAGGCCTCGGGCGTTGAAGATCTTCGCCACGAGGTGTACGTAAGCAGGCGGCCTCGGGCACCGGATACCTGTGGTCTGGAAGGCCGCCGAGCGGCGAGCCGTTGGTGCGAGCACGCGTGCTGAGGACCATCGAGCGGCGGGCGGGCCGCCCCGGCCGCGCGCGTCACCCAGGGGGTGGGTGGGCGCGCCGCAGGAGCTCCTGCCCCTGGGAGGCGCCGGCGTGCTTTCCCTCTCTCCCTCTCTCGCGGCCGGGCGCCTCTCGGGACACGGCTTCGCCTATGCGTGAGAGTGACCCTTCGCCGGAGTGACCTGTCGTGCGGGCCCACAAGGGGTCCCCCCAGCACTGGCCTGCACGCTTGGATTTGGCGTCCCAGCGGCCCCCTGAGGCCCCGCACCAAAGGTCACTCTGGCCCAGGGTCACTCTTGCGTGTAGCCGATGAGCGGGCCCTGGGAACGACAGGGCAGTTTTTCGTGACCGTTTTAGTTTTCCATTTTTATACCATTGCCGACATTTTTTTTAACGTCTCTGGAGGGCATCCAGGTTCCCCAAGAGGCCCCCAGGATGGCCTCTGACGCCCCGACAAAGCTCCACAACGTCAAACGGACAACACGGGAACCAACACAGCGCGCCCCATAGGCATGATCTTCGTTGCTGCTACCTTTTCCGCAAGTCATGCACGCCTGTCCCCCTGGTGGCTCGCATGGCGGCGTGCAAAACATGAACGAGATCCCCAACAGGGCCCAACGGCTGCCCAGCTTCCCACCTGCTTCCCGCCCAATCTTCCTTTGCACCGCCCCTTCGCTCCTGCCGCTCCCTTCTCCCATCCTCTCGCCTGCCAGCTCCTTCGTTCCTCGTCTTCTCCATCCGCCCTCAACATCCTTGGGGAGCCCCGCCAAGTCTCGACACGGACAACCAGGGAATCAATATGGCCGCCCTGTTCTCCCCTCCTTCCGTGCTCCTGCCGACCTCACAAGTCATCCCCGCCTGCATTCCAAGGTCGGGGTTCGTAGCTCTATCAGGTCTGACATCTCTGGCGCCGTTGTGTCACGGGTTTCGTTTCCCCCATGGCAGGGGCCTGGTCCAGATCATCTTTGCTTGCCGGGTCCGGGCCGTCTCCGAACTGGTCTCGAACGTCCTTCGGATCCCCAGACTTCCCAGGCCGTTTAGGTGAACCGTTATTTTTACCGTCTCGGTGAACCGTTGTGTTGCCGCTTCCATGAACAAGAAGCAAAGAGACTATCAAAGGCCTTGCCGTTTCCAGGGCCCACTAAGCTCGAGGAGAAGGATGAGGAGGAGGAGGAGGAGGAGGAGGAGGAGAAGGATGAGGAAGAGGCGGAGGGGACCTCCTTGGAGGGGACGTTAGGGGGGAACGGGCGCAGGGGGGACGCAGCGACTCCCGATCCCCCATTCAATCATCGCTGGCAGGGGCCTGGTAACCCACCCCGCCCAGGCACGTCCAGTTCCGCTACGGTGAGGGCGTTCGTCAAGGAACGTGCCCAGGAGGCTTCAGACCCTGGAGGGTTCCTTGTCTGATGAGGGTGGCGGTGATATCCATAGCCAAGCTTCGATTGGAGTTCCACCGGCCTCCAGACCCTGGATTCCTTATCCAATGGTTCCATATCCAATGCCCTCACCGTGTCGGGGGCCTATCGCCGATCCATCGGCGATGTATCGCCGATTCCAGCTAGATGCTCGCCCCCTCAGCCAGTCCTCCCCTATGGTTCCCCCTCGTATTGGGGGCGGGGGGGGAGGCATCATGGCTGGGCCATGGTGTCTCCCCGGGTGTCTTCGTCCCTATATTTGCTTCAATACGTCCCCTGGCCCCCGCACCTGGGCCGCGCGCGTGCTTCGGGTCATGGTTTGCGACCCCCCTCTTGGACGCCCCCATCTTGGATGGCCCCTACCTGAACCAGCACATCGTTGGAGAATTCCACTGGGCGAGAGGGAATAATGGAGAACGCTTCGATCCACGGCTGAAGTTTTCTCGGGCGCTCGCCAACGTCTTGGTGTATTCTCGAAGTGGCCGTTTAGGGGTCAGGGGGCCTTGACCGTCGTTTGGCCTGCCTCTATCCATGTCTCGCTCACTCACTCTCGGGGCGATGACATGTCCCAGATGTCATGTTCCTCCTTTCTTCTTTTCATGCGCTCTCTTCCTTCCCTCGACCTCGTCCGCGCACATGTCTGGGGCAATGCTGCGCACCCCCCCTCCCTCTCCCTGACCCCCCTCCTCGACGCACCCGAACCCTTTGAATTGAGTATCGAGGTCCGAGGTTCGATGACCGATGACCGAGGTGTTCCTGTGTTCTTCACGCTTTTCTGGTCTGTATTTCTCTGTCTCTCTCTCTCTCTCTTTTTTTCCTTCCCTCTCTCGCGGCCTCTGCTCTCCTTTGTTCCACCCGCTGTTATGCAGAGTAAGCATATCTCCCTCGCTGTCTTACCATTTTGGGGCCAAGGGCGCATGATTCCGCAACAAGGATTTCGTAGGAAGGATTCCTTAGTCATGATTCCTCGACTGAGGATTCTTCAGTAAGAGTTCCTGTGCGAATGGTTCCATAGTGCTGGAACTTTCGTACAGATTTTGACTAAGGGCTCCTTAGTAAGAATATCGTGCCAAAGGATCCCTTAGTAAGAACTCCCTTTCCTAAGGATCCCTTGGAAAGGGCGTCATCGCTGGTGGATGGTTGCCCCTGGATGAAAACATGGTCAGAACCCATTATATTTTGTTGATGCCACTGTTGTTATCAATATTCGATCTCAGGGCTCACATGAACATCACTCGTGAACGTCCATCCCACCAGGCGCCTGGCCCAACGGATCGAGGGATGTTTTAGAAGAGGGCGTGCAGCTCTCTAGAGGATGATTGCCATCCCGCATGCCTTTTGCGTAGTTTGAGCGTGTCGCTGTTGAGGCGATGGCATTGTTCCGTACCGTTCTCTTCGAATTACCGGCAGCGCCTACGGCGAAGAGCCGCCGCTTCCACATGCCTTTTGAGCCACAGTTTTGCCCAGCTATTGGATTGTGCCATCCCCAAGCCGTTGTGGAAACACGCTTGCGGGATCATTGGGAGAGAAAAGAGAGGAAGAGGAGGAGGAGGAGAAGAAGGAGGAGGACGAGGAAGAGGAGGCCTCCGGGCCTCTTGGGGCCTCCGGGCCTCCTGGGGCCTTCGGTGGATTGTCCCGTCTTGTGCTTCCCTTCGGGGGCGAAGGAGGAGAGGAGGGGCAGGACAGAAATCAGGTGACAGGAGGGAGGAGAGGAGACACTGGACAGAGAGGACAGAGAGGAAAGAGGAAAGCAGGGAGGATCGGAACGAGGAAGGGCAGGGCAACCTGGACCAGGAGAGAGAGAGAGAGAGAGAGAAACAAAAAAACAAAAACAAAAAGAACGGAGGAGAAGTTGGCCCCAGGCCCATGGCAGGCCCGGGGGGGCGGCCCAGGGGTGCCCCCCCCCCGGCCTGGGGCGGCCCAGGGGTGGCCGCGGCCCGGGACACTTTTGGACCGCGCATGGGTTTTTATCTTTGGATCGTGCGTCCAAGTGGAGGGAAGGGTTCGACTACACGAAAGAGTGGTCCTTCGCCGGAGTGACCTTTTTTCCTTCGCGGGAGTGACCTTTTTTGTGCGGGCCCACTCGGGTCCCCCTTGATCGCCGAGCGCGATGCGATATAGTAGCGTCTCGTGCGCTCGTGTGTTGGTCCCCCCCGTGGTCCCCAAGAAGCCGCGCATCAAAGCTCGCTCTTGCCCAGGGTCGCTCTTGCGTGTAGCCGAAGGGTGAAGGAGGGAGTGATGGGAAGGAGGAACATAGGGGTGGAGGGAGGAGCGAGGAGGAACATAGCGAGGGAAGGAGGACCATAAGGAGGGAGGGAGGAACACAGGGAGGGAAGGAGGAACATAGGGAGGGAGGAGCCTGGAGGGAGTAGGGGAAGGAGGATCATACGGAGGGAGGGGGGAGCGAGGAGGAGCAGAAGGAGGAGCACAGCGCGAGGCCACACAGGAGGAGGAGAAGGAGGAGGAAGAAGGGGGAGGAGGAGCAGGCGGAGGAGGAGGAGGAGGAGGAGGAGGAGGAGCAAGGGAGGAGGAGGAGGAGAAGGAGAAGGAGCAAGGGGAGGGAGGAGCACGGAGCAGGAGGAGGAGGAGGAGGAGGAGGAGGAGAGGAGGAGGACTCTATGCGAGGTTTCTGAGCGGTGCGCGCAGCACTCGCAGCGAGGGCTACCCAGGGCCATCCCAGGTGGAGAGCCGACGCCAGCGCCCGACACAGCCAGGACCCTCCGAACGGTAGCACTCAGCCGCCGGAGGCAGCACGCCTGGGCGCCGTCGGGCGCTCCGCAGGGGGGGGGGGGGCGAGGAAAGGTGTACTTCTGGGGCCCTTTGGGGCCCAAAAGGGTGACGAAAGGTGCACGCTTCTCCGCCCCCCCGTTACTCGCCCCCCCCCGTTAAGCAGCGCCCAACGTGCCCCGCGCGCGCCCTGCGAGGGGTCGACATGCTCTGCGTGGCCGACGAGGGCAACGACGCCTCGAAGGTGCTGGCGCGGCAGAACGCCAGGCGTTCCCCCCCCGTCGCGCGGCGATCGGTCGGTCCGCACGGTCCCCTGTAAATGATGGTAATGATGACGATGATGATGTTGAGGCTGATGCTGATGCTGATGCTGATACTGATGATGCTGATGCTGATGCTGATGCTGATGGTGGGGTGGTGGTGATGAGGATGGAGATGAGGATGATCATGCTTACGATGATGTCTGATGATGATGGTGATGACGATGGTGGTAGTGATGGTGAGGGTGAGGGTGAGGGTGAGGATGAGAATAATGACAGTGACGGTGATTATGATGATGATGAAGATGATGGTGATGATTGTGTTGGTGATGGTGATGATGATGATGATGATGGCGATAACGATGATGTTGATCATGATGATGGTGATGGTGATGGTGATGGTGACGATGATCATAATTGCGATGGTGATGATGATGATGATGATGATGATGATGATGATGATGCTGATGCTGATGATGATGATGATGGAGAATGTGATGATGATGATGAAGATGATGATGAAGATGATGAGCGATGATGATGATGATGCTGTTAAGTATCATGACGGTGATGGTTGTGACAATGACGATGATGGTGATGGTGATGGTGGTGACGTGGCTGATGGTGATGAGGAAGAGGATGAGGATGGTGCTTGTGACAATGATGATGATGATGACGATGATGGTAATGATAATGGTGATTGTGGTGTTGGTGGTGGTGATGGTAATCATTACGATGATGATGACGATGAAGATGCTGATGATGATGCTGATGATGATGATGATGGTGGTGCTAGTGCTGGTGCTGCTAGTGTTAGTGATGATGATGGTGATGATGACGATGATGATGGTGATGATCATGATGATGATGGTGACGATGCTGATGATGATGATGATGGTCATGATGATGATGATGATGATGATGATGATGATGATGATGATGATGATGATGATGATGATGGGGAGGGGAAGGATGATGCGGATGCGGATTCGGATGCGGATGCTGCTGCTGCTGATTCTGCTGCTGTTGGTGATTGGGATGGTGATGGTGATGGTGATGGTAGTGGTGATGGCGGTTGTGGTGATTAGCATGAGGATGATGATGATGACGTTGATGATGATGATGATGATGATGATGATGCTGATGATAATGATGATGATGATGATGATGATGATGATGATGATGGTCATGACTTGGTGCGATCGCTATGGGCAGGATGATGATTCGCTGTCGGTGTCGCCGCGGGCGTTGCCCATCCGAAGCACAGGTCGCTTGCCCAACACCGGTCGCTTTCGGTTCGGGACAACATTTGTTGCTGGGCAATGTGCCGTGTGGCGAGGCTGATATGACGGTAATGGTGTTAGGGACGGTGGTGATGATGGTGTTGGTCATCATGGTGATGGTGATGGTGATGATGATGATGAGGATGACGATGAGGATGAGGATGATGATGATGACGAGGATGACGATGAGGATGAGGATGATAATGGGAATGATGAGTATGATTTTGATGTTTATGCTGATGATGATGCTGATACTGATGCTTATGCTGATGATGAGGATGATGCTGATGTTGATGTTGAATATGATGTTGATGCTAATGATGTGGATGATGATGCTGATGATGATGATGATGATGGTGGTGGTGGTGGTGATGAGGATGCTGCTGCTGATGATGATGCTGATGATGATGCTGCTGATGATGATGCTGATGCTGATGCTGATGCTGATGATGCTGATGATGCTGATGATGATGCTGATGATGATGATAATGATGATGAGTCGCTACCCCTGACTTCCTGACTTCCGCCGGGAGTTGTTCTGTTTCACAATGTCTGTTTTGGGGGGGCGCCCCTCCTCCATCTGGGGCGCGCGCTTAAGCCGCACAGGTGGCTCCAGGCCGGTCGATTCCTACTTGCGGTAGGTTCGTGTCGTGTCTTCGCGGCAGCGACCAGGCAGCGGGCGTTCAAGGTTGAACGCCGCCAGTGGCCTAGAATCAGCCAATATGGAACGCCCTGGCGTTTAAGGTTGAACGATCCACGCAGTTTCAGCAAAACCAACACTGGGGTCGACAAGACACGAACCCGCCGTGCACCCATCAGACGTCTTGAGAAAATGCGCCAGTTTCCATGGAGTTCAGATTTCGCTTCAGTTTTCATGGGCTCCACATTTCGCTTCAGAAAATCAGGAATCTGGACTGGGCCCTGGGCGTTTTCTTGGAGCTTCTTTTCCTCGTAGAGCAACATCATTATATCTGGACCTGGACTACCGTTTAAAACACGCTTCGGGTGAACTCCACTTGCTCAGCGCAAGAGTTCCTTATCTCTGAGCAGGGGTGGAGCTGTTCGCCTACTCTCTCCGCCCCCAGTCAAGGGCGTGCAGGCCAGCGGCATCCTGTCGCCACCAACACCTGCTGCCGCGGTCGGCCGGCACGGTGCGGCGAAACAGAACCACCCGGAGGACGAGGATTCCTCGTCCTCCTCGTCCTCATGGGATTCTTAAAGGGTTCCCCCCCAACAGGATTCATAACGGGATTCGCAATAGGGGATTCCCAATCGGATTCGCAATGGGTTCCCCATGGGATTCGTAGTGGGTTCCCCCACAGGATTCCCCCATAAGATTTCCCCATAATGCACCCTTTCGAACAGTCGCGCGAAGCAGAGGTCCGTAGCCAGACCCCCCCTGCCCCCCCTTCGCCCAATGTCGAAACGCCGAATCAGAAAACGTTCACGAAGAGGCTCCTGGTGGGATTTTGGGCCTCCTGGAGCGCTCTTCCCAGACATCGGGCGCCCCGAAAAACTCGAGCCGACCCGTCTATCGCCGTTTGGGCCGCACCGGCCGCTCCTGACGAAGGTCTTCGTGCAGTGAGTGCTTCCCTCGTTCGCCCGCCTTCCGCGGCCGCCCTCAGTCTCCTTCTCCCCTCTTGCAGCCAGATAACGAGTTGGTGCCCGATTCCCCGCCTACTCGAGCGCGGGTGCGGATTGCCTCTGCCGCGCTGCGACGTGAAACAACAAAAAAGTAGGTCGCCGTGTCTGGCCTCTGGAGGCCCGTCCCTGGCCCAGGACCGTCAACGAACAGCTCGGGATGGGACGCCGCGTGGCTCATGGCCATCGAAGAAGAAAAAAAACACCTTGGGAAGGTGTTGAGAGGTCCTGGGGCCCACGCATCGAACACATCGAGGCGCAGGGTGTCTGGGCTCGCCGCCGTGGCTGGGCTCCCCCCGGAAGTTCTGGCGCCGGGGCGCACATCGGGAGAGAGAGGCCTGGGCGGGGGTGGGCCACCTCGCGCGCGGCATCTCAGAGCCCAGATGTGCGAGGATGTCTCAGACGAAATGGGCCAGACCACCTCGCGCGCAGGAGTTCTGAGCCCAGAGTCGTGACATGCCAGGTGGAAGGGGCCAGAACACCTCGCCCGCGCTGATCCCCGAGCCCAGTCCAGAGATGCGAGGATGCTGTCCGGCAATAACCATCTCTCGGCGTCTCCGCGCCGAGAGTTGCCAGGATTTCTCAAGCGAAACGGGCCAGACAAGTCACCTCTCGCGCGGTATCTCCGTGCCCAGAGTTGCTAGGACGCCTCAAGCGAAACGGACCAGACCTGCGACGCTCCAAGAGGGGCGTTGCCTTCGAGGATCGAAGGAGTTGTCATCTCTTCCACCGCGGAAGGCGGCGGAAGGTCGGCGAAAGTAAAACGAGGCCGCCTCCGCGGGCGGAAGCCGGCGGAGGCCGGCGGAAGGCTGGCGGAAGGCGGCGGAAGTAAATGATGCGACCCCAAGAGATGAAAGCGTTTTGGGGTTCAGGGTTTCCGAAATCCACCACCGAATCAGGGTAGTAGAGGTTCACCTCATTGACGGTAGAGGTTTACCTCATTGACGGCACTGATGGTCTTGGCGGCACAAACATACACATTTTCGTCGATTGAAGCAAGCCTTGGGCGCGCCATGCTGCGTGCGCCATGGAAAAACCTAGTCTTTTTGTTGTGCGCGCGAGATTATTGAGGACCTCGCTGTTTTTCGGGCGTGCGCCATAACATGCAGTAGTGCTTCTGGCCTTGTGCCATGAAACATGTCGATCGTTCTTGGCGAGCCATCGGCTGGCGGGCGACCATCCCAAGGACTGGCGGGCGACCGGTCCAAGAGCAGGCGGGTGGCCAGCCCCAGACTTGGCTGGGCGACCGACCTTGAGGACCCCCCCCGTGAAACTGTTCGAGGCCCCCCGCGGGCAACCGTCAGGATAGTCAAGTTCAGATTGTTCGTGCGTTGCCCCTGCCGTCCCCCCTCATGCCCTATCCCCAGCGCGGCTCTACTGGCCGCCCCTGCGCCTACCCGCGCGCTCCTAAGGCCCAGGGGCTGGGGGTACGGAGGCCATCTGGGCTGCGAGGTGCCGTCGGGGCCGGGGCCGCGGCTGCGGGGCGCGCCTGAGGTGACGGGGCTCAGGTCAAGGAGGGCTGGCGTCAGAACTACCCTAGCGGCCAGGGGTTTGGGTGCGGGTCTATTGTGAAGGCCTTACGGCCGGTGCCGCCGACCCAGAAGGACGACGACGACGACGACGACGACGGCCACGACGAAGACCACGACGACAACGACAACGATGAGCTAATTATCCTGGCGCAAGCTCGAGACATTGGGCGGGCGGTGGAGGGAGAAGGAGGAGGAGGAAGAGGAGGAGGAGGAGGAGAAGGAGGAGGAGGAGGAGGAGGAGAGGGAGGGGATGAGGGAGGGGAAGGGAGGAGGGAGGGGAGGACGAGGAGGAGTAGGGGAGAGGAGGAAGGAGGGGAGGGGAAGAGGCAGGATGATGAGGAGGACGGAGGATGATGAGGAGGAGGAGGAAGGAGGAGGAAGAGGAGGAGGATAAGAAGGGAAAAGGAGGAGGCGGTGGAGGAGGAGGAGGAGGAGAAGGAGGTGGGATGGGAGGAGGAGCAGGAGGGGGAGTGAGAAGGAGACGGCCTTCTCACAAGGCGGTGGGTTCTTTGGGGAAGGCCCAGAGAACCTTTCAGAAGGCTGGGGGACGA